TTATTTGGTAATTGTTGCGTTCATATGGTAACCATTTACCGGAAATTCTGGTTACAAAAATTATAGTTTTTACTACTACCCATTTAGTAAAAAGTACAAAACTGAAAAATAAATTTAACCGTATAAATGGTATTTATGCCAAACTTTAATGTGCCATGATAAAATTACCAAATGAACATTCACCAAATTTATCACAAATTTGGTAATTAAAGCCATATGTTATTGCTGATTTTGCGAAAAGCATTACCAAAGAGCTGTATTTAAATTTACCGAGCTATTTAGTGCATCCATAGAACCAGAAACACAGTAAATTCTGCCATTTTCTGTTAGTTCTAACCACATTTGTAATCAAATTTATCATATTTATAATCAAAATATATTAAATTTCTAGTACGCTTTAAAGCTGGTGTTAAAGTTTCCAGTACAATTTTATACTGGTTTCAAATTTTGCGGCATATATGAATGCCATTTTCAAAATTTCTAATATGGTACCATAGTGGTTTTAAATTTCCAGTAAGATGCCATGCTTTATTTACAACTTCCAGCGAGGTACCATACTGGTTTTAAAATTGCTAGTAAGATGCCATACCAGGTCTTAATATTTAAAGTATGATGCCATGCTAGGTAAAAAATGTACAGTATGATTATACATGTTCTGGTATCAGTTTGACTAATTTGTGATACTGTTATTTCTAATTTCTTCTAAAACTGGACGTTTTTTTAAAAATACGTTAAAATTCATGAATACCACTGATGATTTTTAATCGGTCAATTTTTCTGAGGATTAAATCTAAAAGAGTTTTGATTTCTTAAAATCTGATATTTTCCAATCTCTCTCCCTCTCCCTATGTTTATATATATATATATATATAAATAAAATTAAAAAAAATGACATTTTTTTTTAAAAAACCGGAAAAAAAATCCGGAAAAGAAGCGATATAATNAAAATTACCAGGCTTATCTTATAAATAATTTTAAATTATAATTTATCAAAAAAATGCAGCATTTTTATCTCTTAATAAACTACAATTTAAAATTTTAAATTTATATAAATTCTCACTTCATTATATATTTAGATTAAAAGTTCTTAAGAATAGAAAATATGAGTTAGTAAACTATCTACATGATATGATAAGTGTGAATCCCTCATACCGTTGATAATAAATAAAAGTAGTGGTTGTAGTGATTAAATACATAAAGGTGATCTAAAATAATTCATATCACGTATTTAGGTCAACACGCAATCTCTTTTGAAATAATAGTTGTTCATAATTTACATTGTTTAACAATAAAGATTTTCTCATAATTATGCACTAATAGTTTTTATAAATTTAGATAAGTCATCTTGAAGCGAAAACATTAATCAAGAACGATTGACATTCGAGGACTAAAATTATATAGGGTAGACTTTTAAAATGTGTGCGATGAGCAAAAGCTTTACTTTTGTAAGCACTCATCAATTTTTATAGCTCAATAGGACTGTAATTTGAAGCATAGACATTTATTTCTACTTAGAACAGAAGATAAATGAATTCTACAAAGTAGGTTATTTTTCATATTTTTTAAAAATGAATTTTAAAATGATTAGTCTCATTTTTAATAAGTCACTTACTGATGATTAATTATTTAGAACATATAATAGAAATTATTAAAGTCACATATTTCTACATAGTGTGTTTTTTAAATGAAAAAAATAATGCTTTATTCAATAAATTTGAGTACAAATAAATGTGAAAATATTTTTAGACTAGTTCATGTAAAAATCATAATAAATAATACTACTTAATGAGAAATAAGTAATTTTCAGGAAACTTTATTTAATTTTCTTCATTTTATTTAACAGATAATATAGAATTCTATTTTTCAGGTATTTATATAGCTGTATTAATACTTAATTTTTTCAGGAAATTTCTTAATCTAGAATAAAACTTGATGTTTGAAAATTTTGAATTTTTTATGAGAATTTTACTGCCAATAATTACAAGGAACTGACAAGTTAACATAGAATATATATTTTATGTTCTCTCACTTTACAAGAGTGTGATTAAATTAAATAGGTTCCCTAGGACACATTTAACTACTAAATTCCCCAAAAGACTGCATTTCGAATACTTGAAACAGATTGATCAATATATATAGAAGTGAAAATATTTCCTTAATTAATCATTGGATTTCAATTTATAATTAAGTATCCTTTAGGCTTGGGTAACTAAAATCAAATTATCAATTTCCGCTCTTTAAAATAAGCTTAATATTATTCTCACCCCTCTTCAATAGTTTTAGATAAATTGCTATAAATTTTAAAATTAACTGAGAAAGTATTTAAATAATGAATCTTTCATGAATAATTGTAAGAAAACAATAATGTATTTAAAAAAATAATCTTTAAATCAAGTTTTTCGAAATTCTAAAATAGAAGATTCTTGCTCTTAAATTATTAAAAATGAATTTCACGCCTAATTTCCTTAGCAAACAAAAAATTTAATCATATACTGAGAAAAATGTATGGTTGAAAATAACCGTGTTTCTGGCTATATGGAAACACCAAGAAGTTTTGCATTTTATGCACCAAAGCCCAACGGTAATGATTTTGATAAAATTATCAATATCATGCGATAAAGTTTGGTAAATGTGGTAAAAATTGGTATTTATATCATGAAATCATCAAATATGAAGCGATATTACGCCGCAGTTTTTACAGTGAAGCAATAACAGAATGACATCCGAAGCAACTTGAATCAGAAATGAACTATTAGCGGAAAATTTTATTAAAACATCGGCCAGAGGATTCAATAAAAACTAATTTATTTTAATGTAAATTTTTTTTTAATTTAAATGAAAAATATAGTCCCATAATAGCAATGGCATTTATTTAAAATATTCAAATAATGTCTGAAAGCTTTCAAGGTAGAAGTTTTAGTTCGTACTTTTTTTAGCCAATATAGCATTAAGAACAGAGCAGAAGCGACTAGACCAGGAACTCTTTACAAACCCAGTCTATGAAAAGTAATAGCCGGCAAATACTGTTTCAAGACACTTTTTTCTCATTTTCTAAAAAACGGTACAACGCTGAATCTTTAGCCAAATCTTTACTATAAATGCATGCATATATATCCAAATCTTTACACATCCATCCATTAATTTCTGATTTAAAATCTGTAGTCATGTCAGGCTAAATGAGCAGTTAGACGAGGAACATGATTTGATCTAAAATTAAAAACACCACCACCAAGGGCACCACAACTATAAGCGCCTTAACTTTATAAACTAGCTGTTTGTGAACGATACATTTGAAACTGTACTTTTTATCAAAATTATTTTAATTTTATGCTAATTTACATTTTCCAGTAATTATTGTCACACATTGCATTCGAATAGACCCGTAAATAGCTATATCACGTAATTTATTGATTTGTCAATTATTCTGTCAAAATAATTATGTAAATGACCACGAACAGACAAATCATAATAGGGAGGGACGTAGGATGGAATTCACGGCTATTCTCTATATCTAGTTCAAAAATTTGAGTAGTGTTTTTACTGTATTTTTAATAAATAGACAAATGTGGATTGGACTAATAAAGAGTAATGATGAAGTTTTATTGCAAGTAAGTAACACATGTAAAATGTGATGTCTCTTTTTTTACAACCTAACATTTTCGAAGTATTTTTTGATAATTTTATCTTTCTTATTTAACTATTTATAATTAATATTCTTCTTCTTAAAGGAATTGATATCAGATAATTTTTTTGTTGTAGCTAGATAATAAATAAATTTAAACCAAACTAATTTAAAGTGATATTTTAAACAATGCTAAATTGTTTGCTATTAACAGTAATATGTTTCATAGAATAAATATTTTTTTAACCATTTTTGGCAAAATTTTTAATAAGTTTATGGAATGCAATTCATCTGGCAAATACGGCTGTCGGGGGCCATTAAATCAAGGTTTCTTTCTGTGTAAATGGAAACAATAACTGGAGAAGGAGATTTAACTTCGAACTGCACAATATATAATACAACCCGATAGTATTAAATACATAAAAATAAATAGGATGAACTGGATGACCCACGTGGTAAGAATGACAGATGGCAATACAATATAAAAGATACTGCTTGTTAGACCCACTGGAACAAGAAAGCGGGGAAGGCGGCGGTTGAGATAGGCTGACTCAGTGGAGTCTGATTTTCTTGCTATTAATGAAAATAATTGAAGATCAGAGATAAATCGGAAGTTGCCGTGGACAAATCTTCAGAGAAAGGCATTGGCTCACATTGGGCTGTCTGGCCAACTATGATGATGATGAAATATAATTAGTATTTTCATCAATTACCATTGAGATCGTAAGGAACCAAAAGTTTCAAATAAATCATTCTATTGATGAATTTTATTACATAGAGTATTTTTATTTTTAGATATAGTAAATTATATTTAGATATTATTCTAAGTAATGCATTATGCTATATAGTTAGCATAATATATTGAGAAATTAAAGAATTGGGCAGTATAATTACAGACAAGAAGACATTTTAATACGGAAAACAAACTGAAAAAGTACGAATAAGGTGTATTTTTACGGAAAATTATTGTTAAATTTCAAAAAATAAATAAATAAATAATAATTGAATCGCAAATGAAAGATTTTATTTTATTGGAGGAATTTACTTAACCATCGTAACTAATATAAATTACTTTTAAAATGAAGAGTGTTCGTAGAGTTTTAGTTTACACGTAATAATTATGCATCAACCAAGTTTCAAATCCGTTAATGGATTGAAATAATATCGTAATAACGAGTAGTAATAAAAAGTAACCATAAGTAGGAATTGAAAGGTTTTTAGCATTTAAATAATAATTGTCATAATGTAATAAGTTTTTTCAAAGATAGAAATCATTGAAAATGTCTATTTGTTACAATTACCAATCTATTATTGTATTATATTTAGTTTTGCGATAGATCTCATGAAATGATTTGAGTTACAAAGAAAAATTACTTACTACTTGTGTCCTGTTTTGGAGTACTTCCAGGAGATGAGGTCCAATTCACTTTCATTTCCTAAAACAGAATTGAATTCATTCATATCAAATGAATAATGTTAATTTTTATATTTGCTGAGTAAATGAAAGAATATTACCTACTTTTTTTATGTTCAATTCAGAAGTTAACTAAAACTTTTCTTTTATTTATTTCCTCAAATTTATTTAGAGTGAAATCCTATAGATTTTGCAGCAATATTACTATTTTAATTGAAATTAAAAATATGAAGAAATGACAATTTTTCAGTCAACGTATTAAAAATTATTTATTAAGATACATTGTTAGTTACTTATATTTTTATTTGTTACTTATATTTTTATCTGCTACTCTATTTTATGATTTCTTTTTCAATCTTAGTTTGCTAAATTTAGGAAAACAGCTTCCTTCCATATGGTAAAGAATAAAAAATGCTTTGATGAAAAATGGCTACAAATTTTTTGATAAATTAGAAGGAAAATAATCCCACCAATTTATCATTATTACAGTTAATGTTATTATAACTTTAATTAGCCACTTATCTTTAATCAAATCAACAACAGAACATTAACGACTGCAAAAAGTCTTGTATTATGTGCTCTGCAAAGCTTCAACTTTGCAGTCATACACTCATTTGAAAAACTAGAAAGATTGTTTCAGATAATCTAGATAATAATCAAAAAAAGAACGAAAAGCAAATTAAAACTTCGATTGAAGTTAATTTCGGAACTAACAATTTTCCGTTTCATTGAAAAGCATTGTTTTTCTTTTAATATATCAACACTTGAATTATAAAAAAATTTAAAAAGATTCTTAAGCTTGTAAATTTTAAACTGAATAAATTTTATCAAGATATGTTTTTACTTAAATGATATATCGATTCCTCAACGCATTACACTAGGATTAGTTTTGTTTATTAAACATAGAATGCTAAATTATCCTTCGTAATTAAAGAATGTACAAAAAATGTCTGTATTAACATTTCAATTAAGGTTCTGTTCTTTAATTAAAATGTTAATAACTTTTTCGTAGTTTTCATTTGTAAGGAAGGCATGGTAAGAAAAGCCACTCTAAGAAGATTCAATTTTTTTTATTTGACTAAGCATTTCTTGACATGTACCACTATAAAAAATAATTCTTTCGAATTAAGGGCATAGGGGTGATGATGATAGAAATAAAATTAAAAGAACGCACCTGGCGCACTGCTATGAATTTTAATTTAGTTGCTGAAGCAATCCTTCATTTAAAGTATTCATGAACTTTTTAATCAACATTTATTAACATTGAATCATGCTACAGCTCAATATCGCATATTATTGTTTTTTAATTCCTCCAATTATTTTTATTGATTACTTTTATTTACATGTCGAAGAATGTTGTTTAAGAATATCAATATGTTTTATAATTTAAAAATAATTTTTGAACTTACTTGTTAGAATAATAAAAATATTTCAGAGTTAAGAAAAGGAAAAAAAAATCTTCAATGCAAAATTCTTTTTATTTAATTGGATATTAATTTTACTAGATTAATATCATGATAAAAATTAAGATAAAATTATGACTTATTTAAATAATTATAACTAAAAACTATAACATCAAGAAATGCATAAGTGTCGGAAAAAGTATGAAGATTAAATTCTCTTGAAAAAATACCCACTTTTCGAAAGATGCTTGATACGTATTTAATTGTCAATGTGACTGTGCTAGATCAATGAAGAGTTAATTAAAACAAGAAAAAAACTATGTAATTGTGTACCTAAAAATACGACACTGCTAAAAATAATTCGACAGAGTTCCCATTTTTCTAATCAAGTAAATTTCAATTATTAATAATTTACTATGCTTAAAAAATGATAAAAATGAAAAAGATAAATATATGAGTGCAGAAGTTCTTTTTCATTTTTTTTCTAAATTCACTCGTAGAAATAGTACTTCTTGTTTACAACATTAAGCGTTCTTAAGCATGGGGAGAATAGACTTTAACGAAATCAAAGGGAAATATTATTTTCTGTCATTAAACCGTAATATATCCCGAAATAGTTCTTTATTTTATTTTTCTACTCCATAATATAAGTTTTCTATTGCTAGCTTTTGAATGTTGTGCTATACTAGACTGTAAAACATTGGTTTATGCTTTAATTATGGAGAGTAAATATCATCGACTTTTGAAGATGTGGAGGTCACAGGACAGAATTTTTCATTATAGATATTTTGAAAGTAGGGACTAATAACAATTTACTTTCGTTATTTACCTCTATTTAATTTGAAGAGAAAATCATGCAAGCGAACTTCAAACTGATGTGGATTAGTTATGTTAAAATTAAAGCAAAAGCAAAAGCTATTCTGTTACTTTAAACATATCTATCTTGATCCGACCATATTATATTATTTTTCCTGATTAATAAATACCTCTGAAAATGTCACTTACCTGCATCTTCCATTTCATTTATTTCCAATTTTTTACAGAGGCAAAAATATTTTCCAATTTAATATAAGGTTTCCGTTATATTATAAATTTACTCATATCAATTTTATCTTTTGTACAATATGGTTATAGTTACATATTGTAGGCAAGTAAAATTAATTTTAATTTATAACTTATTGAGTCACACTATTTGTAACACATTCTATGTTCCTTTGCTTTATTTTTTAAATGTAATTGATTTTCTTAAAATCTAAATAATCCTGTCCATTTTTCTACGATCAAAATATTCTTACAAAAAATTATTACAATTATATATTTCATATAAACTACATTTTGCAAAATATGAAGTTTTTGGAAAACACAAAGAAAAATGGGGACCAGTCATAAAAGTCGGTTAGGGTGGAAAAAGTCTCATCGTTCAGATTTAAAAAAAAACACAATTATAGTAAATAAGTATATGGCTAATAATGAGGCTATAATGTAGAATTTTTCCTTCATTGCATAACACATTAGAACCTTTTCAAGGGAAAAAAAATACACTATGTTTAATGTCTAATGTTTATGTCTATGTTTAAGGTTCGTGCAACTTTGGTACTTGAACCAAGTATGTTGATTACATCACAATCCTTATACAAGATCCTTATGACTTTTAATAAAAATCCATAAATAAACTTTACCAATAAACTATAATTTTTGAAATTTTGTTCAAGTTCAAAATGACCTTTTCCAAGTCCATTGCGCTGTTTGAAATTACAGCACTTATTGCTTGTTAAGTTTTAGAAACTCTTTTTCTTTATTCGTGATGTCAAACAAGTTTTACTCTCATTTACTTATTTCGCAACATTTGTGAATTTTTTTTTAAACTTAGAGGTAGCAACAACTTTTCTGGTAGGGGATTAAAGATATTTCCCCCCATATTTTAGATTATACGGTTTATTTCAACCACAATGGCATTTTAACAAATCAAGTGAAAATATTTAGTTTTAAAACTGACATAAGTTTTATTTTCAAATTAAAGTAAAATCTAAGAAAGTGGCTGCTTAAATATTACGTTTGAATATTTTGGTTGATTTTGAGTTCTTCTCCTCCTGTCAATTAAAAAAAAACTTCCCATTATGCTGACTTAAAAAAATGCCACTTTTTTTAACTTTTGTTGTAGCGATCTTTCTTCAGTTTAACGTAAATTTAAATGTAAATTTAACTTTATGTGTAGCAAAATTTCCGCTTTAATTCATTTTATAAAATTTTTAGTCGAATATTCTGCATGAGTCTTTTGTGTTTTTCTTCAGTGATCAAAAGTTTTGGCCTCTCAAGTTCCTTTATAAGGAATTTTTTCCCCAACTTTTTCTTTCCAAATTTAACTTTTATTTTAAATTCAGTTAAAAGCATTTTCAGTTTTAATATTTTCATTTTTATATATATATATTTGAATTTTGCGGAAATTTGAAAATAAGTTGATTTTGAGTCTTACGTAAGCATTGTTCGAATCCACGTTCACAATAAGAATAAGAAAAATCTTGAAACTTATGGGGTTTTCGTAATATTTGAATGGCCACAGATTAAGTATTTTTTCATACAATGCAAAAACTTTATTTTCGTAAATAAATGCATTTCATCGAAACTGTTAGTAATTGCTCACACGACGAATCAACTTTGCGACAAGTTGAACCCATAATAAATTGCCACAGGAACGAATTGTGTAAACGACAAATTGGGAGCATCAAATTGATCCCAAACCGTTTCAGAGACATTAAATTTTATAAGATCAGATACTGAAAAATTTGATTTTTCGAAACCAACTTGATCAATTTTGATATAATATTGTAAGCTTCCAGATAAAATTTTAACATTTAAAATGATGTAACAATTTGCGTACCTCAAAATTAATGTATTTTTCATCTGTTATTCCTAATTTAGTAAAATGTAATAAATAATTACTGAAAAATAGTTTTTGCTTGAAATTATCTTTGGACTAATTGAATGGAATTTTGGACATGGAATTATCTTTTACAAAAATTGTTTGATTGGCTTAAAAAGTTCTAACAATCCAGCTAAATACGTAAAAGGAAAAATTAGCATCATGGTATCACAATTTTCTACTGCTCTTCTGATTAAACTATAGGGGCCACATTTCTCAGATTGCTGCTGCCTTCCCCTACTTAGAGGGTGAAGAATTAAGATCCATCGAGTCATTTATTCAAGGAAAGTATGCTTTTGTGTCTGATTTCCTAACTTAAACTTGATTTCTGCAATAATTAATTTGCATATTTAAGGTTAAGCCCTCAAACCGTTCAAATTGCGTAAGAATCTAATAATTAGGAAATTTGTTATTCAGGGCACATGTATTCAGAAGTGTACACTGCTCTTTTTTTTCTTAAATGCTTCCTAAGTTTACAGGAATAATTCTTCCTGCTTATACTTAACATAAAATACTTTAAAGAATTAATTTTCGTAAAAAAATTCCAAAGGTATTAAGACTTTTTATTTATTTGGAATTAGTTCGAGAGAGCAGTCATACAAAAACGGTAATTTTACCAGAAATCTTATATTCGCGTAGAAATAAATTTATGTTTAACTATTGTAGTAAATTCATCGAAAAAAAAACTATATCTGAATA